TGTTTCTTGTACAAAAACAAAATAGGACGCTTTCGAGCTCGGCTCATAGTCAGATTTTATGGTAAGTTTCTCAGGCGACGGAATTTCGAAGAAAAAGAAAACCTTTGAGAATTCCTCTCCGCTTAGAAAGTTATAAATACCATTGAAAGTCCAATCGACCTTCAAGAAAAAAAAAAAAAAAAAATTAAATTTGTACAACGCGCTCGTTTACAATTCGTCTTCAACGAAGTGTGAATCGGTATGAAATCTCGATATAAAAAAAAAAAAGAAAAACAATCCGTCGGCCGCACGACGAAATTCGCGAAGAAACTTGAGAGCCCATTGTCGCCAAGCAGCGGCAGCGGTGTTTCTATCGCGACGATTAATCGGAGCTTCTACTGAGTTTGTGTGCGAGGGACAATAAAGCGCCGAGGAAATTTTCGGCTATCGCGCGCGCGAGGCACGGGCATCATCAATTTATACGAGTTTATTTCGGAGTGAGCGGCCCTCGACCTATATATTTTCACTCGACTACAACGTAAGTAAAGCTCGTCGATTTCCGAAGCCGTTAATGAATGTACACATGTATGACGATGAGTACACGTACATATGTATAGGACAACCGCGTGTGTGACTAACTATTGAGGGAATATTTTTTTATCTCTGTCACGTGTTAAAAGTGAAAGAGAGCGAGAGAGAGAGAATGTATGTATATGTGTGCGTGTGGGTGTGCGAGAGAGAGTCATGAAAAATATACTCGAAGAGGTGTTTCAAATTCTGGTGAGGATGAGTAAGAGAGACACACTGCCACCAATTGAAGGGCTAAAACTGTTCCTCTCCTCATTGAGCAATCAGCAAGCATGCTACTCAAGTGATTCAGAGAAAAAAATATTCCAAGCAATGTGGACGTCATGACGATGACTACTATGATGCACTTACAATTGAATCCTTTTCTCAATAACGATCATTGATGCTTCATAAATAAACATAGGTGAATTTGTAATTGGATAATTATTCGAATTAGATATGCTTGGCACAAGAGAAGATTGCCAAAATGATAAAACTAGGATTCTTTGATATGAGCATTAGATACACAACCTGTATGTTGGCCAATAATCGTATAGCAAGATCATAAAATCCGAAAATACAGAGAGGTTGAAGGGCTACTACTAATGTCGCTTGTATGCCGCTGCCTTGAAATGTTGCCAACAATTGAGAAAATGTCAGCAGCCAGTGGTGTAAGCCTATGAAAAGATTTCAGAAAACCTTCACATAGCTTTCTGTCTGTCAACGATGTCTAACTGTGCGTTTGCTCCAAAAGAGACTTAGGACGTATCACAAGCTGCATGCAAATAACGAAGAAACTTTATCTGATAGCTCACATTGAAAAGATAATTATAAGTCAGAAATAACAGTTCAACTGAATGTCTTATCTTTCACAAAAATACAGGTGCCGCTCTTATCTTTTCCCAAATAAAATATTCCAAAAAGAGCTCTCTTGATAAAAAATTAGACTGCCTACACATATACACACAAAACTTGAACAAAAGTTGTTAAATCTAACAAAGAAAAGGAATTACACGTATCACAAATCACAATGCAACTTTTTTTTGCTGATCACAACTCACTTTTTTCTGCTGTTTCTCCCAGGCGGGATCGAGGAGCCCCTCGCGCTCCCACTCTTCCTCAGGCTCCATGTAGCCGTCGCCGTATGCCTCCATGTCGTTCATCCTGTTCGCCTATAACTCCTTGAAACAAGAACACTTGGTTTTTTTGCTGTTTGCTTGATATACAACACACTCGCGGATATATACTTTCACTCTGCGCGCTTTTTGCTTTAAAAAAACCTAACCTTTCGCTCTGTCTCTCTCTCTCTCGGCTCGAGACGAAAGGTTATACAGATAGTAGATATATGTAAAAATGTGTATATCACGTACCCGAGGAACCAAAAAAAATTAATGCGTATAACTGAGCGTTGCGTGCGGGTAAAACTTGAGGGCGTTTGGCTGTCGTTGCTAATTGTTAGTTCGTAGCACTTGTCGAGAACTGTTTGTTGCAAGGGTTGTTATTCTATTTTTTTGCGAAAGACGGGACACTCTCGTCTTGTCTGTGCACGAGTGACGCACGATTCGCCGGCGCTCTGCCCTCTGCCGCCGCAGACGCTGCTAGCGGCCCAAGCACGACGCCGCCGCAGTCGAGCCTCTCCTTTTCCCCCCTACTCTAGTGCCGCTCTCTCTCTCTCTCTCTCTCTCTCTCTTTCATCCGTTTGCTTTCCGTTGTCTCTCCGTATGCCGGTGTGACGGTTAAGGGGCATACACACCGATTCCGCTGCTTCTCCAGTGTGATTTTCAACCGCAAATCCAAAAGCGAAGCTTATCGCTCGAGAGCTCGTTGCATACCCACCTTCCTTCGTTGGATTCAACTGTAGTATAAGTCATTTGTAGTATAAGATCCGGATGAAACTTAATTATTTTAATTAAATCTACATTAAGCGTCGATATTCAGATTAGAAGCTGCGCGCAAACTCTAAGACTTTGAGGAAAAGTTGTTGCGCGTCTGCGCAAATTCTCCGGACAAATGCATCGAAGCCTCGACTGCTCGCCAACGAGGAGTTTCAAGCGCGAGCGAGAAAAGATAGCTTTCGGGCCAGCTGCGACCACGTGTCGCGCGAAAACCCGTGGGTCCGCCCACCGTCGCCCACGCGAAAGGGAAAGCCCGGCGGTCGCACGAAAGCCAAGCGCGCACGGAGCGTTTCGCGATTAGATCTGGCTCGCGCGCGTATCTTTCCCCTCCGACCCTCGAGCGAACGAGCGACGTTTCGCCTCTACTCGGCCACTCGACCCGCGCTCCCCCGGCCGCCGTCGAGGCGCGCGCGCGCGCGCGCGCAGCGTTTCTATGGTTGCGGGCTTCGAGCCGCCCCGCGCTCTCAGAAGCGTGGCCCCGAGGCACGCGCCGCGGCGCCCGCCCCGGGCGAACAGGGGCCACGGAAATAGGCGCGAGGCTAGCCGCGACCGTGGACCGCTTTCACCCACGCGCGATCGAAATAACCCGCCGCCGCGGAGGCAGATCGCGGCGCCCGAGTCCCCGCGTGCTCCCTTCGAATCGCAGCCGCGAGTTTCGAATGCCGTTCGGCGAGAGCCGGCGATCCCGCGATCGCGGGAGAAAAGCGTCGCCGAACGCAAGTTACGGCTTGCGCGATTACTGGCGGAGGAGCACGAGTGCCGAATCAGCACAAGTGCCGCTGGAGAAGCCACTCGGCGTCGGCCGCGTGACGCGACCCAAGCGCATTTGCGCTCTCTCGCCGGCGGACGCGCAAACGGCTGGCTTACGTGTCCCACGGTCGCGTCTGAGATGCCGCGCCGAGAGATGGCCGCGGCCGGCAGGGACAGCGCCGAAGTGCCGCGCGACGCCATCCACGCGGCCGTCGCCGACGGGAATGCGGATCTCGTCGAGGAGCTTCTCGGCAGGTAATGCTCTTCGCTATTTCTCCGAACGACGCGTTGGGAAATAACGGCAGAGAGCGTTGCGACTCGCAGTGGGATATCCCCAAATCTGCAGAACCGCCAAGGGGACACGCCGCTGCACGTGGCAAGTCGCTCCGGCGACTCGATGAAAATCGACTCGACCGTCAGATTGGCGATGCTAAAGCTCCTGTGGGAAGGCGGCGCGGCGATGAACGCCAGGGGGCCGCGCAAGGAAACTGCACTGCACGTGGCCGTCAAGTCGCAGCTGGTCGACGTCGTTGACTTTCTACTGAGGAGCGGCGCCGTGGCCAACTGTCGCGACCGCGACGAGAGGACGCCTCTGCACCTGTGCGCCTCGGCGAGTGACGATTCCGAGGCGAATCGCAGGATCGTCGATCTGCTGCTGCGGCACGGCGGCAACTTTCACGCGCAGGACTGTCGGTGGAAGGACCCGCTGGTCGAGGCCGTTTGCAGCGGAAACGCGAGCGTCGCCGAGCTTTTGCTGAGGGCCGGGTGAGTGCCGAAATCGCTCGCGCGCCCCGAAACGTCCGACCGCTCTACGCATGGCTTTCCAGGGCTCGAGTCGACCACGTGAACCGCTTGGGCCTGAGCGCGATATTCTACGCCTGCGAGACCCAAAGCGTAACGATGGTCGAGCTGCTGCTGCTCGGACACCGGGCGAGCGTCGGCATCCGCGACCGTCGCAAGAGGTCGACCGCGCTGCACTTCGCGGCTGGCAGCGGGCGCTACTACACGTTCGGCGACGACTCTGCCAATCGTTCCGACGCGATAGCAAAGCTGCTGCTCGACGCCGGGGCTCGGGTCGACGCCGCCGACGTGGACAAGTCGACGGCGCTGCACATCGCGGTCGACACCAAGGACCGAGCGCTCGTCGAGGTTCTGCTGGACGCCGGTGCCGACGTCGACGCCAAGGACGACTATGGCAACACGCCGCTTCACGTTCTGCTGTTCACCGCGCAAGAGCACAACTGCAACGAGGCGAGACTGGAGAGAATCGCGAAATTACTGGTCGACAAGGGTGAAGTTGACGTCGACGCCGCGCCTCGAGCATCGCGATAACGATTGCTTGCTTGTTTGTACGTAGGTGCCAACGTGAACGAGCGCAACAACAATCTCGAGACTCCTTTTCATTACGCCGTGTGGCGGGGAAATCCTACGATAGCGTCGAGCTTCCTGAAGAACGGCGCGAACGTAGGAGTCCTCTGGCACGCGCAGAAGGCCAGCTTCAAGTTTCTCCACGAGACACCGGCCTGCAACACTCCTGAAAAGTGCGGCGACAACGTCGACGAAGCTTTCACTCCGTTGAACGTCGCTGTCAAGCTCGGGCACGTCAAGTTGGTCAATTTGCTGTTGGATCGCGGAGACGTCGACGTCGAGACTAGCAATGTTACCGATAGTCATGCCGTTACTAAGACGTCTTTGTATTTTGCCACTAAGAATGGACATTACGAGGTGGTTAAGTTACTCCTGGACGCCGGTTGTTTGATTAACAGGTGAGAATGATCGTAGCAACGTCGTCCATCAAAGAATATTAATTTCCATGTTTGTTCACGTAGATTTGTGTTACATGACACGACAGTACTTCACGTGGCTGTGTCCCAAGGAAACGCTGCTTTAGTTTATCTGCTGCTCGAGTATAACGTGAATTTCCAAGTCAAGGACTTTTCCGGTAGAACCGCGCTCGGTTGTGCAGTCGAGTACGAACGCGAATCGCTGGAGAAAATTGCGAAAATCCTGGTAATGCATTACGCCAAGCTAGAATTCCGGAACGGCAGCGTGAGCGGAGATGATCGCAAAGCTGTGGCGTTGAAAAGGAAATTGCGCGAGTACAAGCTCGATTGTGAGAATGAATTGGCGAGGATGAAGGAGGAAATCGTCTGCGATAACATTTCGATGCATACAATTTTGAGCAAGAGCGTCGATTCTTTGGCGTTGTGTTTGGGCAATGAGAGCATTGTCGAGTGTTTTGTTGGCGCTAACGTCGAAGACAGATACCCGATTTATTGCGACATGCTGAGGATTCATTTTGACCTGGCGTTGGAACGACGACAACTGTTGGACGTCGCGAAAATAACGTTGCACTCGCTTTTCCGAAAAGTTATCGAGAGCTTGGGATACGAGCGTGTACCCGACGTGATTATACAGCGTTTGTTGGAAATGTGCAATGTCAGAGACTTACAAAAAATTGGTTTGATATTGGGTTGAGAGAAAATTATATCAATGCAGAAAAAAAGAGGATATTTTTTTAATACTTTAAATGTATCTCTGTTAAGTAATAAAATGTACAAGTGAAAGCGTCTCTTGTAAACAAATATCTTGTTAGACTTACAACTATTCACGTAACATTTGATCATTTGTAACACGCATTATAAAAAACGGATCCTAACGTAGTATTTTTTTTTGTTCGTGAGAAACGTCAACGATAACATTTACATTAGAAATCAAAAGTAAAGTGGTTGATATATTCTGCAGATAGCGTCGGATCGTTCACATTTTTTATGAAATTTATTTTGAAATCAAGATGGTATTTTCTGCTCGAATGAAATGAGTATATTTTTTTTCAATTGTAATTAACGTTTTGAACTGCTCATTTCCTTTCACAAGATAGCGAGTGTTTGTATACGAATTTCATACAAAATGTAAGGAATTTCCGATCAAGCTCGTCTTGCAGCTTACTCTTATTAACGCAAACGCAATGGTAATACCAAAAATTGTCGAGAAGTTGTACAATATAGCTTGTGAATTTCACTTTACACTTTTATAATACAATACTTTCATATTCGTTTCTATTTCACAAATGCCAACCGGAAAATCGATGAAACCAATGTCAAATATGCATCGTACCTAGCGTTTCATATCAATTATGAAAGTGGAGATACGCATTCTGAAATGTTGAAAAATTTCCCGCTAAAAATTACATTAATAAAAATCGTAGCATAATAACCATTAAGTCAATGATCTTACAGTAACAATTTACGGAATTTTTTCGTCAACTTTATCACTCGATTCGAAAGATATCTGATCTATATTACAACTATATAGGTTTTCATTTGTCATTACTCGTGATATGAAATCTTAAATAATTTTCCGCTCTCTCTCTCTTTCTAACATCTCTACGAGTCTTCAATAGGAGAAACATAATACAAAGGAATCGCCCTTGTCGCTGGAAATCCAGCGGCCGTTGCGATACGCCGAAATCCGTCAATTTGACGCACTGCTAACGGAGCTCTGCAACTTCGCTTTATCGACAAACCGCACGGTCCGCCTTTCAAAATGCAACCCAAAGCTCTCCGCACTCTACTTAATCGCTACACACGTTCCTTTATTTACACACTTGATTGGCGAGCATCTCGTCCCTCTGCGCCTTTCCCCGCCAGGACTGCTCGCTGCTTGTTTCGCGGCGTCGAAGCATCTCGCGAGGGTAAGGCCCGTAATTTGGATTGTTCCGCGTGGAACCGGCTGCAAGTACGTGCCCACGCACACTGGAAAGTCGATGTTTTGTCTTTCTCCTCGAACGGAACGTCTATTATTTATTTACAATTGTCAGTCCCTTCCGAAGCGAGCGCGCGATCGGCTCGCACTGCCGTCCGTCGGTTGTAAATTTGGCGGCGACAGCACGGGCCGAAGCGCGCGCATGCGGCTGTCGATCGTACGCAATACCTCGAGTTACAGTAACATGGCAACAAGTAGAAATACTCTTAGTGGAACCTACTAGCTCTAAGAAACAATCGTCGCGCTGAATAACAATCGAATTTTCATTAAAAATACAAGGTATGCGAGTACGTTGAAGTCGGTACCGGAGAGACGAGGCAGAGAGCGCTCGCCGCGCCGCGAGCCGCCGCCCCGGCGGCGGAGGAGACGGCGGTCGGCAAGGCAGCGAGCTGCTGCCGCGCGTCTCTCGGTCACGCGTCGCGGAATCACAATAGCCGAAGGCGGACAACCTCCGCGCGCGCGATTAGCCGGCCGTGGCGCGCGATCACCTGAGCAGCAGCGCCGAGGCGAGCAGGCCGAGCAGGGTGGCGCGGCCGAGGGCGCAGCGGCCCGCGGCCGAGTCGCAGTCCAGGCTGTCGCGGTGGTAGAACGTGGGCGGCGGGTGCTCGTCGCCCGGCTTGCAGAGCTCGGCGCGCTTGGCGAACTCCTCCTGCGAACAGCGTAGAGTAGAGCGTGGCTCGCAATAAGGAAGGCCGCTGCGGCCGACACACCTACCTGGCAGAGATCGCGGCAGGGCGGGCAAACGAGGGCGCCTTTGTGCAGCCACTCGTTCTGCATTATCCTGATGGCGATCTCCTGGCCGGCGTGGTAGCACGTGTACGTGAAGTTCGTGACCTGCAGCGTGAACAGACAGAGAGAGAGAGAGAGAGAGAGAGAGAGAAGAGAGCGTGTCGCGCACTCCGGGGACCGAGGTTGCCGCCGCCGCCGCCTCCCGGAGCCTCGCGTCCGCTCTACGCCGACAAATGAGTCGCGCGATTCCGGCGGATTAACGACTACATCGCGAGCGAGCGTCCCGTGGCACTCGTCGCTCGCGGACAATTACGCGCGCACCGAGCGTCAAAAACACAAGCCATTAACAAGGCACAGGCGGGTTTGACGATTATTAGGGTTGTTAGCTGCAGAACACGTCGGCGGCGCGAGATACAGCCGCTGCGCATACGTATAGACAAACCATAATGTGCAGTCTGCCAGCCTCGCACTTGTATTGGTAACAGCCGGAACCCCAGTGCTGCCACTGGCGCACCTGCTTGCAAGTTCTCTCCTCCCACATCTGGTTGGTGTGGTCGAAGCAGCGCGAACTCTCGCCGTACCTCTCCAGCGCGAAGTTCTTCTTGGGATCTGTCGCACGAGGAGGGGGAGCTAACGATTAGTCGTTCTCAATTTTCGCGCCGTCGTTCTCCCCGTGAATCGCATCGTCGGCCGTTCCGCCGCCGGCAAATCAAGCCCCGCGACAGAGCTCAATTTCACCTCGCCACTCCGCGAAGCGACGTCGGCCGAGCAGCTTTTATCGGCAAACAATAGCTATTATTGGTACGCGAAGTAGCGATGATTTGCAGTCTGCGGAAGTGGCCCGACTAGATTATTTACGGAGTGACGCGCGCATCGTCCAACCAACCGACACTACTCACGTGGATTATTGTCCTCGTAGAGGCAGTGCGAGCCGCGCACTATGGTGTTGTTGGCGCGCCAAGTGAACTCCTGATTGTAGGGGCAGTAGTCGGCGAGCGAGACCGAGCCGCCGTAGTACTCCTCGTGGCCGCGCGGCACGTTCGGTATCCAGTCGAAATTCTGCGGCAAGAGAAGCACGCGTTGGTCGCGCGATCGTGACCGTGCGGATGCCGGCTCGTACGCACCTGGTACTGCTTGGGCAGCGGCTGAGGGTACTCCACCAGGTTGCAGAGGGCCACGGAGCTGCGGTCGTCCGTGCACTCGGTCTGCAGCGGGTCGCGCTTCACCTTGTTGCAGAACGGATGGATCGACCTGCCCCTGCGGGTTCGATCGGACGGTCACGGTCGGACGGTGGCGCGCGCGCCGAGCGGACCAGCTGCCGCGGGGTCCGCGCCTCCTCGCGCGCCCGGCGCTCGGTCGAACGCCGCGGCAGCTGTGCGCCGGCGGTGGTAGCGTCGCCGCGAAGCACCGAATATCGCGAGCCGCGCGTGCGCTCGAATCGAGTATCGTGAACTTACGCCTCGGCAGCCTCCGCGTCCAGCCTGGGCAGCATTCCCAAAGCAACAACAGCGACCAGTAATGAGCCAACGAACGCGGAGCCAACACCGGAATACTCACGAGAATCTGGAGGACTTGGAGACGATCCACTCCTTGCACGACTTCATGGCGAAGTCGCAGCCGAGCTTCCTGCCCCAGCCGAGCTCCTGCGCCATCGAGTAGTTGGCGCTGTACCAGCCGGTGTCCTCCATCAGCGCCAGGGTGATCCTCGAGTAGACGGGGTTCTGCGTGTGCGTGCCGGTCATCGCCTCGTTCTGCAAGCAGGCGGCCAGGCCGGGTTAGTCGCGCGCGGCTCGGACGCATCCACGAGCCGAGCCCACCTCGAACACGCGCTTCTCCCAGTGGGTGAGCGCGGTGCCGTCCTCGCCCTGGTCCTCCAGCTCGGCGCCCTCGAGGTCGCGGCAGTCGAAGTGCGCCCTCACCTCCGCGCGCACCCGCGGCGTCACGATCATCTGCATCGCGCGGCGCACGCTGCCGCCGTGCACCTGCCAGCTGTGCCGGATCACCGTGCGGATCGTGTTGTCGCTCCACTGGTGCGTCTGCAGCCTGCAAATTGTCGTCGACGAGCGCGCTCACGCGGGGCCCGACGCGAGGTCCATTTTCTCCCTCTCTCGAGCCAACGGTGGCCGCGCTCGAACGAGAGAGAACATCGGAAGCGGACGCCCGACTCGACGTTCCATTTTCACGTCGTTTGCTCTCCCCCCCTCTCTCTCTCTCTCTCTCTCTCTCTCTCTCTCCTTTCTTTTCTTTCGCTCGTCGAGCTCGTGCAGTGTGCCGTTTGTCATACTGGTGTACGCAGTGCCAGTGTCAGATGTGCGCGTCGAGCGCGCTATTATTTTTCAATTCGGATCGGTTGACGCTAAGTAGGCACTTTTCAGTTGCAGTACGGATGGAGCGCGAGGCCTTCCAGGTTGGTCGTGTGCAGCTTGCGGAAGAGTCGCAACGATTTCGCGAAACTTTTTGCAGGCTTGATATCACTGACCGCGCGAAGAACAGAAGAGGTGCGCGGTTACAGTCACATCGCGATTGGCATCGTAAGCAAATTATCTCGGCTGTTCCTTTTTTTTTCTGCGTGTTTCGACAAATTTTCGAGAAATAAGAAATTTCGTTGTCAAACTAAGGGTTTTTCTCCGAAATCGAAGAACGTCTGCTAAAATTGAGAATGTTTTCCACTTTTTGCATAAGTTAGCTTTTAACGCACAATTTGAAAATGTCTATACCGGTCCGAATTTTGTGAAATAAGTAGATTTATATTTTCGATCTCAATTCGCATTTTATCCAAGACAAGAATGCAATAAAGCTTTGTACAGAAAATTGCAAGGATTTATTACGACTCTCCTAAAAGAAAGAAGGGGAAAACAGATGTCGCGTCGGACCTCGTTCTTCTTCGAGCAAAAAAAATAACAAGAAAAGAAAAGTAAAGGTGTAAAGGTCGTCCATGTAGCGTATTTGCCTCCTGAAATTGGAAAATTCCGAGGGGAGAGAGAGAGAGAGAGGGTAGATGTGATGAACCCTCCGCGCCTCCTTCTGGTCACGAGAGAAAGATTCATGTGGTGTGCAATTCCGATTCACCCGTGGACATCTGAGGAATTTTCCAAGGAAAATCGCGGAAGTATCAGTTCCGCAACAAACTACGGACTAAATCTTGTCAGCGGAAAAGCGAAGTTGCATCACGTTGATGTGTCAAAGGCAAAACCCAAAAGCGCAAAAAGGAAAAAAAATGCGGTTCCTTTAACGATACCCCAATCTGGCTTTACTTAAACTCGAGGTGCTGGCCGCAATAGACGTCGAACAATGACAGCGAACGAATAATAGTAATTCCTTTTGTACAAAATAGAATTCCTGCTCCGAGTTAGCGACACGCAGAGAGGGAATATTTGTCGCGAGCGCGCAATGGTGAGGCTCGCGGCGCACTCGACTCACGTCTTGTTGAGCGGCGGTTTTCCGGTCTCCGTGCGCTTGGTCCTCGGCTCGCCACGGTCGTCCCGGTAGAAGGCGTACAGGCTGACCGAGAAGCCGAGCGCGTGCAGGATCTCGTGCTTCACCGTGCTCAGCAAAGTCTCCAGCTCCTGGGGCTTCGTGCTGATGCTCTCCGGGCAGAGGTTCGCGTGGCCGGCGATCGGTCTGCAAAAGGAGTCGTCGCTCAGCGTCGCCGTTCCTCGTCTGGAGCGGCGGGGGGGGGGGGGTGTACCTGTCGAGAGCGGCCTCCTGCTGGCAGTGGGCCGCGTAGGCGACGGTCAGCCCCTTCTTGCAGCGCTCCGTGGACGTGGCCGACACGTAGAACACGAAGTCGGCGCCGTCGATGCCCTCGCCGCGCTTGCTACCCGGCTCCACTCGGCAGTTCAGGCCCGCCTTATTGCACACTCGGCACGCCTGCGTCGGGAGTGCGCCGAGTTAGAAAAAGGGACTCGACGAGGAAAGGAGAAAAGTGGAGGTGGGCACTCACGTCGAGATGCTGCTCTGGCACGATGACCTCGCCGCACAGAGTCTCCGGCTTGCACGTGTCGATGCAGTGCGTCAAGTTGTCCTTCACGAACACCTGCGTGCTCTCGCACTTGCTGAAACGCAGAGAATTCGGATTAGCCGCTGCTCGGCAGTGGTGATGTACATTGGATTGGCTTGGCGGTGGGGGCAGTTCGCGTCCCTCGCTCGGGGAACCGGTGGCAAATCGAGATAATCAATCGTCGTATAGTTCCGTGGAGAAGAAAATCGCCTCTCTCCTCCGCGCTTCCTTTTATTTTTTTTCTTATTTTTTTTCTTCCCTTGGCTTTTCCTCTCTGCCCCTCTGCCGCTCTGTCACGAGAGCGATTTCGCCCGGGCAATAACCATTAACAATGGAATCCGCTCACTCTCGCAGATGAAAATCGCTCGGCAGGGAGAGATTCGCGCTCCTTCCTCCTCTTTTATTTCTCCCCCCGGCGATCAATCGTCCGAGCCGCTCTCGCGAACGGGTAATTTGACTTTTCAATTTGCTTTTTAGTTTTGCGTTTCGCGGTATCGATGTCGCGGTGACGCGGCGAATCCGATAAACAGGCCGAGAGCGCAGTTTACGGATGAGACGTCGATGAGCTGCGGATGTAGCGTAGGACACGATTTGCCCATTATCTCGTGTCTGGTAGCTCCTACCTCGTCGTCGTCGTCGTCGTCGTCGTTTGCCACATGTGTATCTCGCGCTCTCCGCCACTGCACTTTGGTGTATATGTAGGACACATCGTTGGTAAGTGTCCTGAGCTCGTTAACGTAACGAAACGTCCAAGGATACGAACGTGCAGTTTTTTTAGAATCAAAGAAGATAATTCAGTTGTATGGTACACTGAATTTACAACAGCAACAAAATGAAAATTATAAAACCATCGTTCATGGTTACATCGGTCATACTTGAAAAATCGTACGAACGGTACTTCTTCGGTAATTTATCAGTAAAAATTAACTTATTTATCGCCGCTCTTCGCATTCAGCGACGCTTTTAACCATAAACTAACGAGCCAACAGTGAACTTTGATGAAATATACATATACGTGCTCTCGTGAAAATCAATGCGAGTGAAAATGTTGTAAAAATAGGAAGGCGTATTCTCTCGGATCGATCGACGAGCGGAGAAACACGAGGGACGAGCGGCGCCGTGAATTTCCGTCTATTTTCGCAGCCGCGAACGCGAACGCATTGGTCGTTTCAACAATTAATTTGGCTTCGCCGGTTGCCGGCGCCGCGCGAGGATTAGCAATGGTGGTTTTGATAAAGTACCGCGCAATAAAGTCGTTGCCAATATTACCCGGAACGTCGCCCGGGCATTAGAATAATAAATAGCGCGCCTCTCTCCCTCTCTCTGTCGGTGATTTATAATCGCGTCCCCGCGACGTGATTTTAAGCGCGCTCGCGGCCATTACTCACCTATGAATTACGCGTTCTCAAACCTGCGCGCGCTCGTCCACCTGTCGCCCTTCCCCCGTGCAAATAACGCGTCCTCGATTTCCGGGCGGGTGCAGCGCAAGTGCGCGTCGCGTCGCCGGCTGAAATCGCCGATTATCGCTGTTGGCTTCGTTATTATTTTCTTCCGAGGCCTACAGCCGGCGAGAGAGAGTGACGTTTTGACATCGCACCGAAAAATCCGCGCCGTATGACGTTTCACCGTGCCACGGTGAATTTTGCCAAGCGCGAGATTTTAAAACGTCGCGTCGAGTTTGACGGAGATTTATTTGTTTATTGTTTTTGATTTTTTTTTTGTTGTTTTCCACATCGAACGGTTTGAATTGCTTCGCACGACGCGGGGTCTCGTTTGTTTACTGTCGGGAGGAACGAAAAAGAAAACCAAACGTTGCGGGCGCGCCGCCCATCGCCGGAACACGTCACGAAAGCTCCGCGGATGTCATTACGCAACATGCCGACGCGTCGATTATGCGAATCGCTCGTTCAGTCGCCGAAGGCGAAACGCCGCCGAGCTTTTATTCGCGACGGCGTCGTGATTAATGATGCACGACTGCAGCCCGACGACTGCGACTACGACAACCACGACGAGGAGGAGTCAGCTTGAATTATGAGCGAGTCGCAACGCGGCAACCCTAATCCCGACGCATTAGTCCTCCTCGTCCTCGTTGAAATACTCGTACGCGCGTGACACTCGCGAAGTCGATGCTTCGACGGTGCTGATGCCCCCGACTGCTCTCCCCCGGCCCGCCGTCAGGCCCCGCTTTACGCTCTTTCTTTCCGCACTTTTCTGCGCGTAAAGAGGGAATCGAGCTCGCCTGCTGGCAAGTGACATGTTAAAGCTGACTTTTCGTCGTTACAAAGGCTGCCCTCGCGGAGGCAACTCTTTTTAATTGGACAAAAGCCGCTTTTGCCGGCGTCGACAACTACGTTTGCCTCGAGCGAGTAGTACAAGCGGGATATAGTCAGGCGAAAATCAAGTTTTTCCGTGCTCGATCGAGCTTATCCACTTTCATCGCGAGCAAACAATGACGGATGCCCCGGCGAAAGCTACGGCGCGAGTGAGAGCGAGAAGCCCTCGCTAATTATCCGTCCCCCAGTGCATCAGAGCAGCAGCGAGGAAAATTAATCAACTTTTCTAATTGAATTCACGAGGAGCCGTAGAAGGGAGGAACAAAAAAAAAACAACATGGAAAAAAACTGTCCTTCGCGCGTCAATTACCCAAGTGTCAGCGCGAGATTATGCCTTTAAAAAGAGAGGAAATTCCGGGGTAATGAGTCGTCCGGCGATCAGGACTTTGCCTTCTGTTAATTGAGTCTCCGGGTTAGTCGAGCGACTCGTCTGATGTGTACTCGCCAAATTGCTTGAGTACTTAGGATCTTGGCGCCGCTCGCCCGCCCCCCCCCCCCTCCAGAATTGCCGTGTTTTAATTTGCGAAGAGCGAGGGACGGCAGCCTAACATTTTTCAATTAATTTTTAAAGTTTACTTCGCTTCGGACGGAAAAGTAGTCTTTCGCAGAGTCGCATGACCGTCCTTGAAGCGATCAAAATTTTATTACCTTCCGCTCGAAGATTGACCTCTTGACAAATTACGATTTGTTTTTTATTGAAAGCTCAATCATTAAATAACCTTATTGATTTAAGATACGATTGCAGGTGTGATTCAACGTTGGATAATCGAGTTGGAACATTCGTCCGTATGTCGGATCAACGCTTGAAATCGTTTCCGCGAAAGTTCTATATTAGCATCCTCTCGGCGTTTTTCCGCGACGAAACTAAGTGGGAAGATTCGCGATTGTCATCGAAGTCTCGCCATATTACCAATTTCAGCGACCGTCGAAGCGCGCGAACGTCCATTCCGCGGCGTCGTTCGACAGCTTCGTTGGGAATTACCACGACGTCGTCGAGGCTTCCAGAGGCGCGACGCGCGAGCTCCGTTCGCGGTGGACTTGGGTGACTCATCGCGACGTTCGATGCCGTCGCACGCGGCCGCGGAGCTTTCGCCACTTGACGCCTCTCAATTAACAAAAGCGAGTTGGCGAGCGCTCGCCGAAGGGCCCGCGCGCAGGGAATTTTTAATTAACGCACTTGAAAGAGTTGAAAAACCGCTGAGAACTGGCGCCAAAAGTGCGTTGACTCATATGTGACACGCGAGGCTCATTAATAACAGAAAGCTTGCGCGAATCAAACGCCATTAGAGCGCGCGCGCGCGCGCGAGAGAGAGAGAGAGAGAGAGAGAGAGAGAGAGAGAGAGTGAGAGAGAGAAGCCTTGGGAGATGTTCTTCGTATCGTATTGTAACGGTACTTTGCTGTGCTTTCCCGGGGAATAGAGCCTTCGGTGATAAGACGCTCCGGTACGAAACTCGACGCGATCGGCTTATTAAGCGCGCGGCCCCGCCACTCAGTGGAGCATGCTAATGCGCGTGTGTTCTCTTTTTGTCTTTCCGCCGTGCTGTAAAGCTGCCGCATAAAACGCGACGAATACGAATCGGGAAATTCGATAATTCACGGACTATTAAAAGCTTCATGCCGGCTAGTTTATTACGCAGCAAAATGCATTTGGCGATTACTTTTTAATGTTTCATTGCGCGCGCTATACGCGCCGCATCTCTCGAAAAGTAGAGCGTGCCGCCTTCCCCTCTCTACGGCTAAACTATTTATGAAACGACGCGAGCATTTGTCCTTTGCGGATGTTGCATATTTAATCGTATACTTGGAGAGTAATTAATGGATGTAACAGTGTCGTGCCGAGCTCAACAGAAGCCACGAAAATTATTTATCTGGGCGTCGCACGCGATGCGCTTGTGCACACATCGCGCAGCGGTCGATCGAGAGCTGCGCGCGACTCGCGCGACCCATCCGGACAATCTGCTGTCGGGCGGCCGACGAGTATTATCCGAGCAGGAGACTCGCTCGTTACCAGCTTGCCAAGACGCCGCGGCCCGAGAACAAAAGGGCCGGAGCTGAATGGCCGTCGGAGAATCGAGAGAAAGAAGCGCCCCGTCCGCGACTAACAATTAATTTTCGCGCCACAAAGCGCGCGACGAAAAGTTGGCGCGAAGAGCAGAGCGGCGAGAAGGGGGGGGGGGGGGGGAGTGGAGGTCGTTTAACGGCCTCCGCGCCAGAAAGCTCCGGACGCCTCTTTTTCGGCCATTCACGCGGGACGGAGCTCGTTCAACTTTCAGGCCGAGCCACTCTCTCGCGTCCCTCTTTTTCGGGCGGCCGAGTCTTTCAGCAGGACCGCGAGAGTAACGGCTTCCAATCCCCTCCATCCCCCATTCCTCGTCCCTGTCCCGGCGGCGAGAAGCGCGGCTGGTGTCTCGTGGACGCGCGACCGGCCCCGCCACTGGGAGAATCCGACGACGACGGCGCAAGGCAAACACCCGGGCGGCGCGCGGCGAATCGAGGCACTTGAATTTTCCTCGTCGCCGCGCATTACTCAGCTCCGAAGCTGAAGTCAAGAGGAAGAAGCGCGGGGGAGGCCGCTTAACGTCAAACATTCGAGAACGCGACATTTCACAAAGCCGTGCACCAATGCAGAGATCACGTGGCGGTAATGGCTTATCGATCAGCGCACAAGCGATTATTCTTTCTCCCGTTTTTTCTTTTTCTCTCTCTCTCTCTCTTTTTTTT